GTTCGAATTCGCGCGCTTTTACTCACCGGGCGGCCTAGAAAAAACCTCGTCCCTAAGGGCTTTCATCGTATTTTTCGATGTGTATTTCTCGATGAAGGATTTTTTTTTGAATTTTTTCGTTATTTTTATGTCAATCTACATGCATTTCTGCACATTTTGATGCAATAAAAAATTTCACCGTACACAACCTTTAAAAATAGATTTAAAAAACGGCTTAAAATGTCTTTAAAGTACCAAACATTCGTTAAAAAGCTTGAAAATGGCCTAAAATAACGGAATATGACCAAAATAATGGCCTTTGAAATTGTAAAAAGAGGCGAAAAATGACCTTAAAGGTTGAAAAAATAGCAGAAAAATAGCTGAAAAGTAGCATAAAATGACCTAAACGAGCCAGAAATTTGTTTAAAAATAGCCAAAAACGCTGAAAATTGGCTTAAAAGGGCCTTAAAATAGCCTAAAAATAGCTCAAAAATAGTCTACCAGAGTCTAAAAACTAGTTTAAATTGCCTAAAAATAACTGAGAATAGCCGATCCAAAATGGCCTAAAAATAGCCCGAAAAGCTTTAAAAATGGCTTAGAATGGCCACAAAAATATCCTGCGAGAGTCTAAAAACTAGTTTATATTGTCTAAAATGGCCTTCAAAATTTCCTTATAGTAGCCCAAAAAGCTTAAACTTGGCTTGAAATGGCTTTAAAATAGCCAACAAAAGCTTAAAATTGGCTAAAAGGGCCTAAAAATAGCCTGCAAGAGCCTAAAAATCAGTTTAACTAGCCTACAATGGCCTTAAAATTGCCTGAAAACAACTTAAAATTGCCTGAAAAGCGTAAAAATACCCAATATTTGTCAAAAAATAGCATGAAAACAGCCTCAAGTTGCTTAAAATTGACCAAAATTAACCTGAAAACGGCTTAAAATCACCTAAAAATAGTCAGAAAACGACCTTACGAAGCCAAAAAATGGCCTAAATTAGCCAAATATCGATTTTTCAGAATGGCTACAACAAGATGATTGATTCGGTGAAGAGCCTGACGACGTCTTCAACAGCTTAAAAATTCAAATTTCCCGCCTTTTTTTTCTGTAGATACATTATTAAAATAGAACGTTCCAGTAGTTGTTAGATTCTCAGTTTTTTCCGTTTTTAATTTTTTAAATTTTTCTATTTTTTTAGGAATTTCCCCCTATGTTTTCTCTGCTCCAAACCCAAAATTTGTGAAATTTCTGTGACGGATTTTCGGATTTTTTGACATTTTCTGTTATTTTTCTTTGTTTTTTTGTTTTTTTTTGCAATAAACATATAATTGTCTTTTTTCGCTTTTTCTCTAATTCTCCAGGTGACTCAATTCGTTTTTGTCCCTTTTGTATACTTTTGTACTATTTTTTTTTTGAACTTTTTGGATATTTTTTCTGGGTTTTTCTAGAATTTTTTGTGGTTTTTTAGACGAATTTCAATGATATTTGGATCATTTTTAGTCGATTTTCTGTATATTTTTTTCAGCAGTTCCGGCGAATTTCGAGCTATTTTAAAGCCAATTTTTGTTCTTTTTTTGCCTAGTTTAGTCGATTTTTGGAGAGTTTTTCGGTCTAATTTTTCATACTTTTAGAAAACTTTTCAGCCGTTTTCTAGTCGATTTTAAGTCGGTTTATAGAAAATCGCAGCCAATTTTAAATCATTTTTAGTTTGGTCCAGTTAAGTTTTCTTGAATTTTCGGTCTAATTTTTTTCTGACAAAATTTGGACGATTTCAGGATTTCAGTCAGTTTTGAATCATTTTTTTTCCCGTATTTTCGTGACTTCTACCTATTTTATTTTTCCTAAAAATTGGGTTTCCACACAAATTCCACAGACTACTGCCACGTGGCACTAGCGGCTCAGCAGTGATAATTAGAGCTGGAAGAGCTCTCAGTTTTGTTCGAATTTCTCCTAGTTTTCCAGCTTTTTTGTTGCCTTTTTCTAGACAATTTATCTGACGATTTTTTTCTTAAAGAGAGTTTCCAAGTTTTTTTTCTGTAATCTTCCCATCGTAAAGTCTAGTTCCGTCTCAGTAATCTTGCCATCCTATCCTGGGATCTGTTACGGATGGTTTTGCTAACTTATGAGCTACTGAAAAACGGCTAATAATTAGGAGGTTACAACAATTCTGGTACAAAATCTATAACTCTGGGGTACGAAAATCAAATTTTACAAGGTATTTTGTACCTCTAAATTTCTTTGTACGCCAATTTTTGATTTAATTTAATTTTTAATTGAATCGACTGAAGAGCAAATGCTCTATGAATTGTTTGCCTTCAAACACATCCCTCGTTACCGTGTAGGGACTTTCTTACCGTGATTT